CCTTTCAGTAGAGAAAAGAGCAGATGCACAGCTGGGCTGTGTCTGCAATGTACACCACCTTCACTGGGTTGGGAACCAGTTGATCAGCACAGTTCACTGCCAATGCCCTTTCCTGTCCCCTGTCCCAGGGCCCCTCCCTGCTGCCATAAAAAGATGTTGCGGTCATGATCCATGATTCCCTTCCTTTAGGGACTCCTGTCAGGGTTTGTTTGTCACACAAGCAGTGCATCCGATGAAGTGAGCTGTAGCTCACGAAAGCTTATGCTCAAATAAATTGGTTAGTCTCTAAGGTGCCGCAAGTCCTCCTTTTCTTTTTACAAGCAGTGCAGGAAGCTGAGTTATTCTTAGTCCCTAGAAATGCTTTGGAAAACCTGGTTTACTGTAACAATTTCCCACACACAGGACCCTCACCAAAAAACTCCAGTCCCAATGCTGTGCTCTAGTTCCAGAACCATGAATTACCGAGATGGTTCCAAAAAGTCTGTCACAGCAGAACATAAGCCATGCAGCCAAACAGCAGCCATGGAACACAGACAAGGAATCGTCTTCCAGCAGTCAGTGGCTCCATTCTGTGCCAGTCACAAGAGGAAATTGGAAGAAAGGATCTCTCAGAAAAGCTGAGATGTTTAAATCCTAGGAATCAATGTTATCTCCCTTTTAAAGTCCTGGTGCCCGTGGTCTCATGAGGTGACTTTAATGGGAGCAGGACCTCTGCACCTGATCTAGGAAGGGGCTGAACATCCTCTGTTTCAATTGGCTGGTGGGAATTGAGAGGAGGAATTCCTCATCCTCTGCAGCCCCTATATGCCAAGCAAGAATCATAAGCCCCGCAGCCAGTGTATCAGGGGAGTGGAGGAGAATCATTGTCGAGGGAGTCTCTGGAGTGCTGAGAGCTACAGAGATTCTGTGCTGCCATAGACCATGGAGCAGCTCACTGGCAGCCCACAAGAGGCTGCTGTAAATTAGAGCAGCTCTGAGCTGCTCTAATTTAGGTCTAGGGTACAGGAAGTCCTGGCTGCTTTAAAATGTATCAGCAAGACAAGATGGGTGAGATAATATCTTTTACTGGACCTTCTTCAGATCTGGGGAACTAACAGAGTGTCACAGCTAAGCACAAGAGGGAACACATTGTTTAGCATAGGCAGTTAATATATAGTGCAAGGGGCCATTCAAGTGAAGTGGCCTGTTAATACCTCTCCAGTCATAGGAAGGGAGGGGAGAAAGGGCAGCTGAGAGGGGTTGTTTAGTGGACTGTAAATTGCAATAAGCCATAAATCCAGTGTCTCTACTATTCAGTCCATGATTTTAAGTGTCTAGGAAAGTTATGGATGTAAGCTCCCAGGCTTATCGTTTGAAGGTGTTATGCAGGTTTCCTTTGAGGATGAGGACTGAGAGGTCACATACAGAGTGATCACTTTGTGAACAGTTTTCACCCACAGACGATAGGGTGTTTTTGTCTTTTATCATTTTTCTGTGCAAGTTCATTTGAGCACGTAGTGAGTATCTCATTGCAGCCACTTAGTTGCTACTGGGGCATTTAGTGCACTGGATGAGGTACACCACATCTTGTGATAGGCATGTGTAGGACCCAGGGATCTTGAAAGGTGCATTGTTGGGGGTGTTGATCATTGTAGAAGCAGAGATATGTCTGCAGGTTTTGCATCTGTTATTGTGGCAGGTTCTGGGGCCGCTTTGAGTTTGTGTGCCCTGGTGTGCAGGGAGCTTGCTTCTGATGATGAGCTTGGAGAAGTTGGGGGGGTTGTTTGAAGGCCAGAAGAGGGGGTCTGGAAAGATTTATTTCAGGATGGGGTTCCCATCAAGTATGGGTTGTAATTTTTCGATGGTACCCTGTATGGGTTCCATTGTGGAGTGGTAGGTGACAACTAGGGGTGTGTGGTCAGAGGGGGCATTATTTCTCTATTGAAATAGGTTTTCTTGGGTTATTTGTGTGGCCCGTTCCATGATGTGATCTACTTCTCTGGTGGAGTATCCTTTGGTGCCTGCACTGGCCCCTACACAATCCAGAAACAAGGGTAAAACAGGGAAGTTAAAGCCACCCTTGTCCCCTGTTTTCCTGGAAGCACAGCACAGATGGGTTTAAATATGTCACAGGATCATATCTAGAAAGTCCATAGGTTTGAGATCTTTCTCAGATCAGGGCAGATTCACCTCCAAACTCTGCAGTCCAATATGCAGCAAACAAGTCTAAGAGTGCATTTTTCTTCATTTAAGTTTTATTTGAATATTTTATGGCTCCATTGCAAAATAAGAAAGAGAAATTTACAATGAAGAAATATTATTTAAAATAAATATCTTTCACATACAGATATATATTACAGAACACATTGTATATACATACACAGACAGGATTTATTTACCTAACACTATGTTCCAGTACATGCCGATTTCCAATTTACATTTATTTATTTAGTAAGCACAAAACCCTTCTCTGAATGTGACTATCAGATAGAGTAGAAGCAACTAATTATCAATATTTATTTGAAGAAATCTTTCCAGTGCTGTGGAATGTATTTTTAGACCAGCTATGATCAGGATGTCTGAAGGGTTTTGTCTGTTTTTATTTATTTGCTCTGTAATGCTTGTTGATTTAAATATCAATAAACATGGGCTCACTATAATCCTATCTCCAAGAAATTGTAGATATAATGTATTCCCCGCCCCTGGAAATAAATGCGTAAGTCATAGCACGGAAGGATGAATACTGTGACTAGCTTGATATACCCAGCACAATTCAGAGCCCAGCCCTGTATATTTTGACAGATGTCCATATTTCTTTGTGTTGCAAGAAGTTTGAGGCTGGATGAGCTGGGTGCAACATGCAGACTGTGCTGTCTTCCAACCTGTGCAAAGTGGGAGTGAATTTTTTAAAATTGTTTTACTGAGTGATTTATAAGCCCATTAAATGTTTAGCTGGACTAAAAATTGCACATTTATCTAATACCTGGACCATCTGAAGCTTTAGAAACTGTTTTCAAACAGAACAGGGAGTCAGCTGTCTTGGAAGAGTAGCCAAATTACTGACTTTTGTTAAAACGCTCTTCCTAATCCTTTAATAGCTGAAATTGACTTTTATGATTCTGAAGTTCTCACAATTCATTAAAAGCAATAAAGAGTCTATTGGGTATTAAATCATTTGGTCCATGGGAATCAAAGATGTACTCAGTATTGTACAAGACAAAAATAATATTAATACTCCCCCTCCCTCATCTCCTGTCTCTGTGAGGCTCACAAAGTAAAGGCAGCATTCTGCAAAACCTTACAACCAAAAGTAGTGCTTACTACTCATCCCAGTAGTACGAATTTTCATGATTGGGTCCTAGAACACAGACATACTGTAGATCAGGACCAATTACCTCCACCAAAGCTCCCCTCCCATCTACCCAGGACAATTAGCAATATGGGAAGGACAGGGTGGTTGTGAGCCCTTGACACCTATTTGCAATCCCCAAAGAAAGATAAGGCTTTTTTTTTCTTCATCCAATTATTTAATGTTGGGCTGCAGAAGGTATTTGGTCTTTACAGGCCTCAGAGAATAACAGGCCTTTATGAGGAGGTTAAAAAGGGAAAGGAAGGGCCAGCTGCCCTTGTATTGGGCGTGGAGGAAGGCGCGAAGATGGGCCTTGAGAAATAAACTCAGAAGGCTGTGAGTGGAGCTGTGCGAATAATGGATTTTCTGGTTCATTGGCCATTCTAGAAAATTAAAAACACCGAACCGCTTGGGTTGAACTGACAGGTTTCAGAGTAGGAGCCGTGTTAGTCTGTATTCGCAAAAAGAAAGGGAGGACTTGTGGCACTTTAGAGACTAACCAATTTATTTGAGCATAAGCTTTTGTGAGCAGCCGATGAAGTGAGCTGTAGGAAAGCTTATGCTCAAATAAATTGGTTAGTCTCTAAGGTGCCACAAGTCCTCCTTTTCTTTTTGGGTTGAACTGAAACTGTTCAAAATTTTTGGGAAAACAAAAAGTTGGGAAAAAACTACAGTGTCCAGTCAAACAAAACGTTTGTTTCACTGCTGACCACGTCTGATTATTTTACACATTTTCAAAACGGTCAATTTGAACTGAAAAATCAAAATGTCATCTTTTTTGAAAGGAAACATTTTGATTTTCTCTGAGTCCTTTTTAAGGGATTTTGTTTGTTTTTCTCACCAATTTGGCAAAACCAACACAAATTCACCAAATGTTTTTGTCCCTGAAGAGGCAGGGCGCATTGGCCCATTGACATAGAAAGAATATGGGCCATGTTAATAGATCAGATCCAAGGTGTAGGCCAGGGCAGAGCTGTGCAGGGAAAAGTGAATGAAGAGTTCAAGCTGAGATGGCAAACAAGGGAGAGCAATTTTTTGGTATGGTGTGGTGCCACTTTTAGTTAATTAACAACCTCTGTGACTCAGCTAGTGTTTTCTGGTCCTTGAAGGGTCACTTAAGGCAGATTACATGGTCATTCTAAAGTTGTTTGACTTGTTTTTTAAAACCCATATATTTGCCATGGGCAAGGCACACATTCCCCTGTTCACCCTGTGTGTCACCTTACTTGGAATAGGTCTATTTGGGTCTAGTTGTAGAGGGAGGTACCGTTCACCAGGAGTAAGGAAAACAGAATCTGGCCTTTAAAAGCTAGTTTATTGAAGAAATGAGCTTTCAGACTCAGCAAAGAGCACAGATGAGAGTTTATAGTTTTGTAGTGTGACACCTTTTAAAATATTATTTTGATTTAGGGGACTTTCCCCCAAACATCTCACGGGGCAGTTTGATTACAAGTTTTTCATATACACAAAAACCAACCAACTTGCTTCTCTTGTTCCATTCCTAATTAATCATGAGCACACTGAACTGCCAACAAAACAGGGGTAAAAGGCCATGTTTGAGGAAGCTGTCACTGATGCAGAATGGCTGCCTATAAGAGTTGAAGAGTATCTGATAATCGCAGTTCTTTTCTGCACGGCTAATTTGTTTACACTTGTCAGAATGGCAGTGACCTATATTAACACAATAGCAAATGCGGCCTTGAACCAAATCCAGCTCTGAGATTATGACCAGCCTATACATGGGCAAAAAGAAGGGCTATTATTTTCCCATACTGTACTTCTTGTCTATTCACATCTGAAAGAAGTTCACACCGACCCAGAGTGGAAACAGCTATTTTAACAGTCCACTGCACATGAGACTTCCACAGCAAAAATTCCCATGTTAAAGAAATGAGAGTATTACAGCAGGGGAAATTTTCGGTAAACTGAGTTATATGGATGGAAAGACAAACTCAGCTCTGAAGCCAGTTATAAAACTAAGATACTAATTACACTATGTCCACAATCCATTGTAATGGGCTACTGGGGATTGATGTAAGTTCTGTGTTATTAGTATGGCTTTCCATTTAAGCAACTGAATGGGACACAAAAGCTAAGTGCCACATCCTGCTTCCCCTCTGGGGGCCTGCAAGGCCCCAAATGCTATGGAAATGCCACCTTCCGGCTGAGCAGGATGCTAGGTAGTAACCATGCGCCAAAAGGCTTCCGCAGCCCTCTGCATGCCACAGAGCATGCTACATAGTGGCTCTCTGTGCAGGACTGTGGAAAGGAGCATTGTAGAAGGACTGGGGAAATGGCAGGGGCTTACTGACCCAATCCCCTATGAAGCAAGATGTGGCTCTCTCCAGTGCTTCTCTTCCTAGCAGCCATAGCCCAGCTAAGCAAGAATCTAGCTGCAGGTTTGAGGGAGGATTCTAACCCCTGTGCATTCCCCTTTTCAGTTGGACTTCATGCAGGGAACCATGGTTTGGGTTTATGTGATCTTCTTGTCTTGAAACGCTCTGGCACATGGTCTCGCATGGCCTACAGGCTGTTTTCAGCAGACAAATACGGTTTGCCATTCCGAGCAACTTTCAAGTAGCTGTGATCTCAGATGTTGCCTGCTGATGATGGAACCTTTGTGACACAGGCGAGGAGGGTGGCTTCTGACTTTCCATATTAGACCTGAGTGAAAGCAAGGAAATGTTTGTGAAACTGAAATAAAACAATGTGTGTGTGTGAATGCACTCTCAATACAGAGCGAGGCGATAAACCTACATAGGGAGAGGGCTCTAATGAGCAGCCAAAGATTTAACATGATCCTATGGTTTGAAGCTGAAGCAAGACAAATTCAGACTAGAAATAAGATGTAAATTATTCAGAGTGAGGGTAACTAACCATTGGAATGAGTAGGCATTGGCCATCACTGGAAGTCTTTAAATCAAGACTGGATATCTTTTTAGACGATATGTGCTAGCTCACTCAGAAGTTATGGGCTTGAATGCAGGAATCACGGTGAAATTCCCTGGCCAGTGTTAAGGAGGTAGTCAGACTAGATGACCATAAAGGTTCCTAATGGCCTTAAAAGCTATGAATCTATGCACTCTGTTGAAATGCATTGGACTAGGGGAGATTTATGGAGGGACCAAATGGAAAAACATTAAGTATTTGTTTAAAAAGGATAGGGATTGTCACTCCTAAGCAGGGCTAACTGGACAGTCTGAACAGGCCCTGTGCTCTGTGATTCTCTGTGATTAGACTAGGAGCCAAGAGTTCTGGGTTCTATTCACAGCTCTTCCACTGACCTGCCGTAACTTGGCCAAGTCACTTAAGCACTCTGTACCCCAGCTGCTCTATCTGCAAAATGATACTTAAAGACACGCCGAGATCTACAGGTGGAAAATGCTATATAAGAGTTATTAATGCCAATTTGTATTAGAAATCTAAAAAAGTGGCATTACAGTCACATCAACTATTACATTATCTAGCTATAAATCTATTTACACACACCTATAGGCATATGTATTCACACACACTCACCTTTCCTAATAGCAGCAGCAGCAGCCACAGACTCCATATTTTCCAACCTTTATTTCTATCTCGTCAAAAAACAACTTTTGTCCTCTTTCAGCTTCCACATAATTATCATAAACCACCTCCAACACAGCATTTCTGTCTGTCCAACTGAGAGTTCCTTTGATGTCCAAGATTATATTCAGATGTTCTTTCCTTTCCAAAAGTACCAGGAATCAGACCAGTAAAACAGAGGAGACAAATATGTTTGCTTGATAAGACCAATTACAAAGAGCTGAGTCTTGGAAACTATTAAACTTCAACTGCTGATAAATTGGTTTCTAACACCTATGGCCACCCAGCCTGTTATAGCTGTATTTAAAATTATGGTCTCACCTAGCCAAAGCTTTTCCTGACCCAGTTCTCTAGTAAGAGCAGATCAAGACTGTTTGATTGTTTGGAAGGTTGGTTTGTATGGTGACTCCACATTTTATTTTTAAAAGCATTTTTTGTACCCTTTCTGCAAAGAGATGGTGACCTCTTGGTCACCTGGAAGATGTTTTTTTCCTCTGTGTGGTAGTTGCTTGACTGAATTGAATGGTCACTTATCACCCTATTTAATGATGCGGGCAATAAGAACCCAAGTCAGATATGATGTAAGCAGGTGTGACGCCATTGAAGTCAATGACATTGAACCAGCGCTAGCTTTGGCCCTAAGAGACTACGATCAAAATGGGTATTTTTCCGAGTACTGTCTGTGCATATAAGTTAACTTGGAAAAATACAGTTACTAGAACAGGGCATCAGAAAAATGATGGAAGGAATTGAAGGAAAAAAACCAGAACAGTTTGACAAACTGAGATCAGCTACAATTTCATTTTTGGAACTAAAAGTCAATTTTAGTTCCTACTGTCAGTTTCCTGTGTGAAATGTAAGTGCTGAACGCACGTTGGATAATGTATAATTAACGACACACAAAAGAACGACGTTAGAAGAATGTTAAGGTTGCCAAGTTAAACATTCAAAAGTTAAGAATTGCCTGAATTAAGATTGTTGGTGCAATGCTAATTTGGCCCCCTTGTGCATGTGCATTATGATATAGTCTTTAATTACATGATCACATGCGACTTTTTTCCTCTGGACCCCTGCCTCATTCAGTGCACAGAATGGGAAATGTCAACCCAAATGGTCAACGTTTGATAGTTATAAGCAACTGAAAACAGGATCTAATAATGGAGGTGTCAGGCAGCCTTAACTATAGATGTTGGTACCAGCTCTGACTATAATAATTCCAAAGCACAGCCAAGAAGGTGCACAGGTAGTGTATTGGATAACAAATATTGTTACAGGATTTATGGCTGTAAATAACCAGCTAAGCAGCCTGAATAATCCATGAAATGCCTTACCTTATATCTGGAAACTTGTGGACAAGAATCACAAGCTGTATTTTCATTGCTTCGATGTCAGTAAGTAGAATAAACTCTAGGATTCCTTCAATAGGATCATCCAGTGAAGCAGTTCTAGGGCCCTAGGGATATAAGAACATATGCATTCAACTGGAGTGGCAGAGGAAGTAGAGTGCACTGTGAAGATCTGGCTTCAGGATCAGACTTGGGTCACCTACTTGTGGACCAGAAAGAGCTACGAGCATTACAGGGGTTGTGTGCTATTTCCCCCCCTCCCCAAATGTAAGAATAAAGTAGAATCTAATCATGCAACTGCATTAGCATCCCCTACTGGTCAATACATGCAACTGCATTATTGCCGGCTTTAAACAAGCCCACCAAAAGAGCGAAGCTATGAGGGGGTGAAATTCGAACAAAAAGACAAAGTGAAAAAAGGGTTTGATCCTGCATGGATCTGTGCACTCCTGCAGGACTGAGCCCTATAAAAGCAAGCAAAGAAATATTCCTTTTTTAATGACATTTGATAAATGAGGATTGGAATGAACTGCCCAGAGTTAGCTTCAGATCTTGCTCACATTTTGAGTAGGAAGGTAATAAGAGTAAATTGCTACTCTGAATTATTTATGCCACAATATCAGCATAAATTCTATGGCAAAGCAAAGCTAGGGAATGTGCTGTTCAAATTAGTTCAGGACAAGCACACATTCCCACGATATCTACTTAGCACCGAGAATAAGACTGGATTTTCCAGGAGCTAGCACATCTCTGCACTGAACATAAATTCAAAAGATAATATTTAGAGAAAACCCTCCTCTCTCTCTTCCTCTGCATTGCAGAAATACAGACTGCGTGTAGCTCTGCATACCAAGAAAACTATAATTATTGCCGGGTTTTGCTCCCTAACATACTCAAACTGTACAATATTCCCTGTTTGTCAAGCTCACTATTATCAAATGTTATTTATTACAGAGTGCCAAAAAGGTCTACACAGAGAGGCAGGAAGACAAGATCCTTGATCTAAAATAGCCAAATAGTTAAGTAATGCTTAACACAATCTTGTTCGCTCTTCTTTTACAATATATGTAATTATTATTTAGCAAACACTTCTTTGAGGGGAGGGCTGGGAGTTTCAACATATGTTTTGAGAAGGGACTTGAAAGGGGAAAGCATGGACACATGGCAGGCTAGGTCAGGAAGCAGGTGCAACCATGGTAGTAACTGCATGCATAAATTGAGTATGCAGTTGAGCATATATTTTGCATGCACAATTGTGCACCTAACTTGACTGAACATCAGCCTGCATTTTTAAGTATATTTCTTCTGGCAAGGTTTTCAGTGCTAATACCCTGAGCAATGAGAGAGGAAAGAGCATGGGTGACGGGAGTGGCATTTTACCAACTGCATGCAGATTGGTTCTTCAACCTGTGTATATTATAGATTGTGTGTGCTTATACATACAATTAGATTTTCTTGGATTGCCTATGCATTGCCTAATTTAGTGATAAGATCAGCTCTTCTTCCATGTCTTATACAATGCTGAGCACAGCATTAATGGCAAGTTTAAGAGCTATCTGTTAGAGATTCTTTTTTTGTTTTTTAAATAACATATTTCTGGTGGTCTCTGAAAGTTTTAAACGCTCTTTAAATGGCCTACTTAATACAATAGACTTTAAAAGTACTAGCAGTTTTCATTTTTCCATACTGAGACTAATGGATTAATTGCAGTGAGTCTGAGCTTTTTCCAAGGGAGACTAAAAATTTTTGTTTATTTATACAGAGTTTGAATTACTGACAACCAGTTTACTGCAGCTGTCACTGAGGATAGAAAGGAGGACTGTCAAACCCAAGCAGCCAAAAATAATGAGTTGGGCCTAAGAAATCATGTGATTGGCTTAAAATTAATAGATTCTTTAAAATAATTAATTTGGGGTCTTTTTATTTGTGCCATTTAGTTTCTGAGCCCTTTGGGTTCATGTTTTCCAGCTTTTCTCTCCAACCGTAAGGCTGGTAACTTAATTTTTTTAAATGAAAGCTAAGAGCCTGATGTAATCACATGACTCCAGTAGCTGGGGGATTAGGAAAAATGCCAGATGTTGAGAGATTTGCTATAAAATCAAAAGGGCTGGCAATACTACAAAAGCCTCTTTTCACATCCCAGACTGCTGTTTGCATGCACTTCCTTCTGATTTCACACAAAACATCCAGCCTCCTTTGGAAATTCATCTGTTCTGGATCCACTTGGCCTCTGCTTTGCTTTATCTTGTACTCACCAGTAATTTATTTGGGAAAATGTACCAGGTAGCCAAGAATTACAGTATTCTTAATTATAATACATTACTAGGCCCTCTGCAGTGCATTTCACCCATCTCTCTACATGTGCTTTACAAACCTTCATGATAATCCTGATCCCTCTGAGATAAGTAAAAGAGATACAGCAAGCCCTTTACCCACTACTGAAATGCAGCAACTTCTGTAGTGGAACACGGAAGCATCCAACTGCCTGTCAGAGCAGGAAGTGAGAAGGATACCGTATCCAACTGAAACTATACTACAGCAGACCTTTGAGGAGAGTGTAGGTTCTATAGGACTCTGCATTGCCCACCTGGCAAAAGCCGTATGGTAGAGCAGCATAGACAACGTCACCTGTTCTACTGAGACAATTGCCCCCTGAAGTACAATGGGCCTAGCTGATGTAATTGACTCACCCCAGTTTTGAGCCTCTCACTATTTCCTGTTACAGGGGAAAAAGTAGAAATCTTGTGGTTCCCCCTACATTCCAAAGCTACAAACTAACAATATTTTGCACCACTGATAGCAGATTTGAACTGCCAACATGATGTCTTGAAACATGACTGATGTTTATGTATGGGAAGCTGGGTATCAGTTTGTTAAGTGCTCCTGTTCCATTCAGAAATGTGCCGCTCATTGCCCAGGTTCTTGTACTTGGTGGTGGAAAGAGTAAACATAACACTGCAAAGCCAAATCAAAGACTTACGAAGCATTCTTCAAAGAGTGTTTGCATTGCCCTGTGATCTGCTTCAATTTTGTTGGCAATTTTCCTCCGCTTTGCAGAAGATGACTTCCCAGAAGCAGTTAGGAGAGCCTGAACATACTCAGTGATAATGTTGTGATGGACAGTCTGGATGAGGGTCTGTTCCAGACAAAGAAACAAAGATTAGCCTCTTTGTGCTGAGTGTGGCTATGAGTAAAGGCCGATTCTGGATAGAAAGACACTGACCACTTTGGTTTCACTCAGAAGCAGGCCCCAATCTTCCCCCTCTGTACCCTTTTAAAGAGTCTTGCAGTGCTAGTCTGACACATGGATGTACTATGGTGGGCACAATCTGTTTAGAGACTATGGGCGATGAGGGCCATGTAAGTACTTAAAGGGAATGAGAGAGATCTAGCCCTCAAATATTACTAAGAAAAGACAGTTTATTGGACAAAACTACAGATCATTAACAATTTAAATCAGGTCAGTTTTAGACTGCAGTCAAAGCACGTAGGAAATCTCTAGCCCTACCCCAAACAAACTTAGCAACACAGTCAGTTCTGGCTTAGTGTTCTACCCCAGCACTGCTACCTGACATGGCATTCGTGTGACACAATGTCCAGTGACAGGTTCTAACGAACAAACAGAGTAGCTCCAAAGTTCTATGTTGCAATGCTTTTTCTATCTTTGAATTGAAATTAGTGGTGGTGAAAGGTGCCATATTTACAGATGTGGAATTGGAAGTCTTGTTTTTAACCATAGGACATGCATAGCACAGGCAGCAGCAATGCAAACTTCCCCTTAATGAAAGGAAGGATAGCCAGGTGTTTAGGGTACTAGCTTTCTATATGGGAGACGGAGGTTCAAATCCCTGCTGTGCCAAAGACTTCCAGTGAGACCTTAGGGAAGTTATTTAGGTTTCTCTTGGCCTTCATTCTCCACCAGTAAAATAAGGATAATAGCAAGTCCCTACTTCATAGGGATGTTCTGAGGACAAATGCATTAAAAATTACAAGGGTTTCAGATACAATGGTAATGGGGGGCCTTAAAAGTGCTTAGCTAGACAGATTGCTACAGCCATGACCGGGTGAGGCACCTTTTAAGGTAGTCCAACCCCCTCCCCTGCCTGTTTCCATGCCCCTTCCTTTCCTGGCTTCTCTGCTAAGATCACAACAAGAGTTGTAATTGTAATAGTGGTTTTTGTGATGTTGACACCTGTCTGTTAGGAACCGGACTGAGACTATCAGGACTTCTTCTAAACTGCTTGGGGCTAAACGGGAGTTGGGGTTAACTCTGAAATACGTAGCAATCCCAACATCCACTAGCATGGTTTGTGGTGGTTTTTCTTAGTAATATCTTGCTTATTTCTTACCTCATAGGTCTCTGTATTTTTCATCTCAAACCTTGAAAAACTGGACCGTAAGCAGTCTAGAAATCTGTCAAAATCACTATGACCTTTTCTGAAGTGAGCCTTCAGTGCCGCCTGAGGAACAGGAAATAACTGGCGTCAACGGCAGACCATGTAGAGACATCACAGAGTTGGTATATGGGCTTTGTTTCTGTTTGCTCCATCCACTTTTAGAGGTGGAGTCATTCAAGTGCTGCAGCTTCTTCTTTTCATTCCCTTGTTTCAAATGATGAGCAAAGCGAGGAAAGCAGGGAAACAACTAAAACCCAAGATGGACTCAATTAACGTGCTGAAGCCCCAACACTGGAAGACCTCAGACTGTGGAAGAGACCGGGTGGGGAAGGCAATATCTTTTACTGGACCAACTTCTGTTGGCGAGAGAGGCAAGCTTTGGAGCTATACAGAGCTCTTCTTCAGGTCGGGGAAACTTACTCAGAGTGTCACAGCTACATACAAGGTGGAACAGATTGTTTAGCATAAATAGTTAACACATATTTCAAGGAACCATTGAAGGTGAAGTGGCCCATTAACACCCCTCCAATCATAGGGAAGAATGGATGGGAAGGAAGTGGGGGGGGGGGTTGTTAATGGGTTATAGATTTTTTGCAATAAACCATAAACCCAGGTCTCTGTTCAGTCCATGATTTTTAGTGGCTAGCAAAGTTATGAATTTAAGCTCCCAGACTCATCTTTTGAAAGTATTGTACAGGTTTCCTTTGAAGATGAGGACTGATAGGCCAGATATAGAGTGATCTCTTTGTGAAAAGCGTTCACCCACAGGTGACAGGGAGGTTTTGTCTTTTATCATTTTCCTGGGTGAGTTCATGCAAGACTGTAGTAACTGTCTGGTTTCACCCACATAGTGGCTACTGGGGCATTTAGTTCACTGGCTGAGGTACACCACATCTTGTGATAGGCATGTGTAGGATACATGGATCTTGAAAGGTGTGTTGTGGGGTGTGTTGATCATTAGAGCAGTGGAGATATGTCTGCAGGTTTTGTATCTCTTGTTCTCACAGGGTCTGGTGCTGCTTTAAGTTGGTGTGTCCTGGTCTGTGGGGAGCTGAAGAAGACATCTGAGTAAGCTCCAAAGCTTGTCTCTCTCATCAACAGAAGTTGGGCCAATAAAAGATATTACCTTGTCTCTCTAATATCCTGGGACCAACACAGCTACAACAACATTGCATGAAATAACGGAAGATACCTAATTTTGCCATCTGAAATGGAAACTCCACAGCATAAAGAAAAAGGAAGTGAAACTTACTAGCGACATCTACTTCCTGAGCAAATATGAGAAACAAAACATCATCCCAGAAGTCTCATCATCTAACACAATCTGACCACTATATACAACTCCAAATATGCTGAACAGCTTGGCAAATGGACTTCAGAAAAACTGAGGAACCACTTACTGCACCTCACATGCTCCAGAAGGAACCAGCTTCCTCCAAGAAACAACTGATTTCCTTCACAAACCCTGCAACATTAACAACCTCCCTCAGAATACCATTCTTCCCACCATAAATTTCACCTCCCTGTACACCAACATCCCTCACAATGATGGCATAACTGCCTGCCTCAAATATTTACAAGACAATGGACAACCCTCAGATATCCACCCCAACACACATCACCAAATGCATCCATTACACCCATTCTCATCCATAACAATTTTACATTAAACAATTAAACAACAAACACTTTGTCCAAACCATGGGAACAGCCATGGGTACTAGGATGGCTCCCCAATATGCCAACCATTTCATAGCCAACGTTGAAGAAGAATTTCTGGACAAATGCACCATGAAACCAATGATATACCTGAGATACATCAATGATATTTTCATCCTCTGGAAAGACGACCTACATGCACTCATAGATTTCTACCACAACTTCAACAACCACCACCCATCCATTAAACTGTCTCTGGAACACACCCACACCAGCATCAACTTCCTGCACACCACAATCAACTTCAGCAATGGAACCCTACAGACAACTATATACAAGAAACCCATGGACCACCACACCGACCGTCATAGATCCAGTCATCATCCAAAACACACCAAGAAATCTGTAATCTACTCAGGCCATGTCTACACTTATAAGCTTACAACAGCACAGCTGTACCGATACTGCTGTGTCACTGTAAGATCAATGGTGTAGCCGCATTATGCCAATGGGAGAGAGCTCTCCCATCAACATAATAAAACCAACTCAACAAGCGGCTGTAGCTTTGTCGGCGGGAGAGCATCTCCCATTGACATAGCGTTGTGCACAAGAGCACTTATGCCAGCAAAACTTATGTTGCTCTTAGAGGGGTGTTTTTTCACATTCCTGAGTGACAAAAGTTTTGCTGACATAAGTGCTAGTGTAGACATAGCTTCAGATACCACAGAATATGCTCAGAGAAGAGAGCCTAGGATATACACCTTAACACACTCAAAACCACCTTCACCAAACAAGGACACTGCACCAGACATGCAGATCGCATCATGGAATGGGCCACTCAAATATCCCAGGAGAACCTGCTCCTATACAGAAATGAAACCCCTTCTGACTACATACCCCTAGTTGTTATCTACCACCCCACACAGGAACCCATATGGGGTATAAACAAATGACTACAACCCATACTCAAAGGGGACCCCATCCTGAAAGAAATCTTTCCTGAACCCCTTCTTCTGGCCTTCAAACACCCAACATCCCCAGGAGCATCATCAGGAGTAAATTCTCCACAGACAACGCCACACCAACTCAAAGCGACACCAGACCCTGCCAGAATAACAGATGCAAAACATGCAGACATATCTCCACTGCTAAAATGATCAACATCCCCTTCCCCAACACATCTTACAAGATCCGTGAGTCCTACGCATGCCTATCACAACATGTGTTGTGCCTCATCCTGTGGACTAAGTGCCCCAATAGCAACTGAGTGGCTGCAATGAGATACTCACTACGTGCTCAGATGAACTCACAAAGGACAATGATAAAAGACAAAAACACCCTATCACCTGTGGGTGAACATTTTTCACAAAGCAATCACTCTATATCTGACCTGATGTGATTGCAGAGCCATTGGCCATTATCTTTGAAAGATTGTGGCAATTGGGGGAGGTCCCGGACGATTGGAAAAAGGCTAATGTAGTGCCCATCTTTTAAAAAGGGAAGAAGGAGAATCCAGGGAACTACAGACTGGTCAGCCTCATCTCAGTCCCTGAAAAAATCATGAAGCAAGTCCTCAAGGAATCCATTTTGAAGCACTTGGAGGAGAGGAAAGTGATCAGGAACAGTCAACATGGATTCACCAAGGGCAAGTCATGCCTGACCAACCTAATTGCCTTCTATGATGAGATAACTGGCTCTGTGGATATGGGGAAAGCGGTGGATGTGATATACCTCGACTTTAGCAAAGCCTTTGATATGGTTTCCCACAATATTCTTGCCAGCAAGTAAAAAAGTATGGATGGGATGAATAGACTATAAAGTAGATAGAAAGCTGACTAGATAGAAAAGCTATAAAGTAGATAGAAAGCTAGGCTCAATGGGTAGTGATCAACGGCTCAATGTCTAGTTGGCAGCCGGTATCAAGTGGAGTGCCCCAGGGGTCGGTCCTGGGTCCGGTTTTGTTCAACATCTTCATTAATTATCTGGATGATGGGATGGATTGCTCCCTCAGCAAGTTCGCAGATGACACTGAGCTGGGGGGAGAGGTAGATATGCTGGAGGGTAGGGATATGGTCCAGAGTAACCTAAACAAATTGGAGTTCCGGCACCTATGTGTACGTTTGTAGTGTAGACCCAGCCTGAAAAAGTTTCCCAGTCCAGAAAAAGTGCTCTGTGTAAGCTTGACATTTTGTCTCTCTCACCAACAGAAGCTGGTCCACTAAAAGGTATTCCCTCACCCACCTTGTCTGTCTGGCATCCTGGGACCAGCACAGCTATAACAACACTTCATACAACTGTGGAAGGCAGACAGCCTCTCAGTGGAGCGATAGCTATATCAGTGAGGCCCACACAGAACTGCCAAACTGGATCAACCCTGGGGTTCATCTAGTCCAGCAGCCTATCTCCAACAATAGTCAGCACCAGATGCTTCAGAGGAAGGTACAAGAACCCTACAGCAGACATATGCAAGATAATCTGCCCTCCACATTAAGTCTCATCCTGATCTCTAACAGTCAGAGGCTGACTTAAGGCCTCAAGCATGAGGTTTAAATTCCCTTCCCAAATTTTGTTTCCATTGGCTATGATAACTCTGGATATGCTTGATCTCCAGATAAATATCCAGGTGCTTTTTGAATCTTGCTAAGTTCTTGGCTTTAATGACTTACTGTGGCAATGAGTTCCACAGTCTAATTGTGCACCATGTAGAAAAGTATTTCTTTTATCAGTTTTGAATTTGTCACCTTTCAATGTCACTAAATGTCCCCTCGTTCTTGAGTTATGAGACATGGAGAACAGAAGCTCTTGATCTACCTTCTCTGTACCTAGATTAACCCAGGGGAGACACACACACGGGCTTTGACAACCATCTGATATATTTGCAGTGGTCTTCATCTTTGGGAAGAAGTGAACAATACACCAAAGATAAATGGCATCACATTATTTAACTTTGTTCATTGAGAAATTCATAGCCATTAGAAATTAATATTTTTCGCTCCAGCTCTTGGGATTTGAATACAGGCGGGCAGCCATCGGTGCATCTTTAGTAATAGCGAAAAGACTATGGCTCCAAAAAGCAGAGTATTAGAATCCTGAATGATTAAATAGACAGAAGCTCCAAGGTACAGATCTAAAATATATCAATTCCTCAGTCCTGCAGGCAAAGCCATACATCATCCCCGGGATCAGGATAGGAACATCTGCCTGACAGCATGAAAATATCATTAAATGTTAACACTGGTCTCAGATACCTTGACTTTAGAAGTAATTGCCTGCAGAAGAAGTTCTCTACTCTGTTCTTCTGTACTGTCTATAAATTCCTTCACTTTAGCATCAGTGTCAGCACTAGCATGATAGATGTACATTAGCTTATGCCAAGCAGCTCTGTAAAAAAAAAAAAGAACAAACCAAAACCAAAAGTCACATTGGGCCATATTTTCAGTCCATGGTCTCCTTTAAGGGCTGATCTAACTCCCATTTAAGTCAACGGGACTTTTTCAAATGGTTGAAGGTTGTTACATGCTTAACTGCACCACTGGATGAGGGCCTCAGTGCACAATCACTGGTGCATATATTTTTGAGTGCTCTCGTTAATGTGTGCAACTTTACACAAACAAATGCCACATTTGTTAATGCAAATCAAACATAAATGGGTTTTGCAAATGCAAATTCTGTCATTTTCCCAAATGAGAGGACACAAAAAATAGCACACAAACAGGATTTGCACATGTAAGACAGCTTGCAGACAAATGGAGACTGGGTCAGGGATCCTTTGTACGTTTGGCCCATAACAAATGCAAATTGAATAGCACTGTACATTAAAAAGGCCAAAGCTTACAAGCAAAAAATACAGACATACACAATCAGAAAATTCTTCAGATCTACATAATCATGCAAGTCCTAGGTTAACGTGTTCACAAATCAGAAATCATCATTTTTATTGTCTGGAAAAGGTTAATGTGTAATTTTTATTTTCACATTTTAAAAGAATAATATACATATTTTCTACTCAGTGGAGCCAACATAACTCTTCAGTTTAGGATTCATAGTGTTAGAAACATGTTATGGGACTCTTGCCTTTGCTGTAAGCTACATATCACAGCGCATATATTATGAAAGAAAAAATTACTTGCACATGACTGACTCTAAAATTGAAGTAAACACTGTGGCTATTTTTGGGGCTAGGGATTTTTGGCTGACTCCAAAAAATCCCTAGGTAATCTTACACAGAAAAACCACCAGTGAGCCTGTTTTCACCACTGTCACAAAAACTACTGAATTGAGCATTTTGGTGCCTAGAACCTCCTCTCTCCTTTTATGCTTTGTTGCTTCCTGTTCCTTTTAACAAAAAGAGGTAGGATGTTCATATAGGGCTTGATCCAGCAAAATCACTGAAGCTCTTGCTTAACTTTAAGCACTCAAGTAGTCTCATTGACTTCAGTGGGAGCTGGATGAGGCCCATAAAGCAGAAAGTTCACTTCACTTCACATGTCACACTGGTCTGTTTTCTCACCTGAAAATGCAGCAGTTCTCAAGTATTTGCAGATTGCTGTCGGTCTCAGAAAAGGTGTCAAGTTGGAGAAGGCTTCTTACTTCATGTTTATAGCTAGATAAAACAAAGTAATAAAAACATGTTTAAATAGCAAGGTCTGACAACATTACAGAATCGGCTAGCCTGGCAGCAAACAGACCAAATATTCCATTATTACTTTGATTCTTAGCGTTCACAGTTTTACTCTTCTAGGTGCTTTCTAGAATAGGAAAAAGATACAGTCCCTGCCCTAAGTAGCTGGAAGGGATAGGGAAGTGTTACAGTAATAAGACTGGGAAGTTACTTAGCTTAGGCATTGTCATTGTAATGGTTCTGGGGATTTTGTGTGTTCATTTTTTAAAATACTTGCTCCTTGTAAGCGACAAAGCAAAAGGGACTTGCCCGAAACCTGGTGCACTTCTAGAAGACTCAGTGTGTATGAGTAACCAGTGGAATCTGTAAAAGCGGCAAAGAGTCCTGTGGCACCTTATAGACTAACAGCATATACGTCTGCTAGTCTATAAGGTGCCACAGAACTCTGCCGCTTTTACAGATCCAGACTAACACAGCTACCGCTCTGATACAGTGAAATCTGGTGATAGCTTGAGTCCCTAAAGGCCTCAGATTTATAGCACTGCTGGGCAACTCACTCTTGTACTTAATTCCTTCCCTCTGTTAATTTAAAGGGACAGTGAACTTTAAAAGAAAAATAAATCACACTCCTTTCTGAAAATATATTGCCTACAAGTAGTAGTACAGGACTCTCCGCTGGATGGGATACAGTGAGAGACCCATACTGGAAAAAGAGGAGAAGGAAGGAGCCAGAAGAAATGACAGGGTAAGAAGCCTGTGGATAGTGGGGAAGCGGTAGATGTGGTATATCTTGACTTTTAGTAAGGCTTCTGATAATGTCTCACATGTCCTTCTCATAAACAAACTAGGGAAATTCAACCTAGATGGAGCTACTATAAGGTGGGTGCATAACTGGTTGGAAAATCATTCCCAGAGAGTAGTTATCAGTGGTTCACAGTCATGCTGGAAGAGCATAACAAGTGGGGTCCCGCAGGGATCAGTTTGGGTCCGGTTCTGTTTAATATCTTCACCAATGATTTAGATAATGGTATAGAGAATACATTTATAAAGTTTGCAGACAATACCAAGCTGGGAGGGGTTGCAAGTGCCTTGGAAGATAGGATTAAAATTCAAAATGATCTGGACAAACTGGAGAAATGGTCTGAAGTAAATAGGATGAAATGCAAAGTACTCCACTTAGAAAGGAACAATCAGTTGCACACATACAAAATGGGAAATGACTGCCTAGGAAGGAGTACTGCGGAAAGGGATCTGGGGGTCATAGTGGATCACAAGCTAAATATGAGTCAACAGTGTAACGCTGTTGCAAAAAAAGCAAACATCATTCTGGGATGTATTAGCAGGAGTATTGTAAGCAAGACACGAGAAGTAATCCTTCTGCTCTACTCTGCATTAATTAGGCCTCAGCTGGAGTATTGTGTCCAGTTCTGGGCACCACATTTCAGGAAAGATGTGGACAAACTGGAGAAAGTCCAGAGAAGAGCAACAAAAATGAATAAAGTTTTAGAAAACATGACCTATGAGGGAAGATTGAAAAAATTGGGTTTGTTTAGTCTGGAGAAGAGAACACTGAGAGGGGACAGTTTTCATGTACATAAAAGTACATAAGGAGGAGGGAGAAAATTTTTTGTTCTTAACCTCTGAGGATAGGACAAGAAGCAGGGATAGGAGAAGAGGCTTACTGTGCAGTATGGTAAGCGCCTGTTAAATAGAGAGACCTGATTATTATATTAATGTAGAATGTTTCTCTAAACAAAAATCTCACTGTTGTACTGATAATTGTGTTGTCTCTGATACTTACATAGTAAGGATTTAAGAAAGAAAGAAAGAAAGAAAGAAAGAAAGAAAGATGAGGGTGCAGTACTTTATTCAAGTGGGAAAGGGTTAGGAGGAGGTAGTGTCCTCTGCTTTAAGTAACTAAGAGTGGGAAAAGAGTCTTCTCTCTGAGCAGTTAGGAAAGAGAGTTAAAAAAAAAATCTTACTGGTAATTTAGTGAGAGCCTTATTCTGGGCCTGATCCCAAACCCATTAAAATCAATTAGAGTCTTTCCATCGACTTCAGGGGTCACTGGATGAGGCCCTCAGACCCCAGAATATGCATGGCACTGGTACACTACTGTTACACACACAACACACGTGGGTACTAACAGAGTGTGAAATGTCCTTTTCTATTGTTTCCCAGAATAAATGTTGACCCAAGTACTTAAGAAAACCAAATAAGTCCAGAGGAATAAAATCTCCAAGAAAGGTGATGAAACTTGAGTCTGGCAGCTTGATGAGAACTTGCTGTACAATGGGGAAATAAATGGGGAATTGGGAAACAAAATTAGTTTCAGACAAACAAAAAATCACCAATAAATCTGCTACCATTTCTTCTTTCTTTTACTGATGATGGGTCAATGCAGAAAAAGATGGGCCTCTTACCTATGCAGAAAATGCAGAAATTCTCCCAAACATACAGCTTCCACCTTATCTTTTATGGTATCACTGATATGCTGGACTGCCTGTGCCCTCCTTGTTAATACCTGTCGATTTAAGTAGTGATAGAACATTCTGAAGTTATTCAAATGTCATTGGGTGCACATGATTTCTCACACCTTCTTCACCTTTGAAAGTTCCTCCATCTTCTTAGGGAATGATTTAGTTCCTTGTTTTAAAAATCCTCATGTGAATAAAAATACTCCCTAGGGTCTAGATTTGGATACCCAGACTCACAGTGAATAGTATCTTACTCCACAAATGCTTCTGCTGAAGTCGGTAGGACTTCCTGTGCAGTAAGGTGCCACTCAGTGCGAATAAGAGTAGAAGAATCTGCCCCACATTTGGGCATTACTAGTAATACTCAGCTGTAGGGCCCACTTCATACAATATTTGCCATCTTCATTTCTGTGGGGTTTGCCAGCAACTTTAGCATGACCTTGTATTTGAATAGATATGACTATATAGAGAAATCCCATCTTTGACCATAAAAAGATGCCTATATAAAAACTTACGCAGACAGTATTCCTGGGGTGAGATGCTTATTCGACCAGATTGGCGGCAAGGAATAGGTGGGCTCCATTTCATGGCCTAAGATAATAAACAGGGTCCTGGCAATTTGCTCATGTTAATTCCCCCTGACACCACCTTACACTTGCAAGTGGTAAGCCAAGCAGAGCACTTAGTTTCTTCCTGCCAGAAGGATGAAAATCAGTCTCTGTTTGGATTGACTTGAACAGGTGTTAACTTAACACTACTAGCTGCTCTGTTGAAATGGAGCCTTGCTGTAGGAAAGGACCAGATGGAAAAAAGGAGACAGACAGAATAATATATCCTGTGTTCAGCCCATGATCTGCGTAGTGTCAGAGAGACAAACGATGACACAGAGAGAGAATGGGATTTTCCATGCACTAGCCACAATAAATGTATCAGTTCATCAAAACAGGAGGAAGGAAACACATCCCCTTAATCTGAGCACGAGACATGTATTGTGAAAATATTGATAATCAGTTCATCTTTAGGCATACAGAAAACGAAATTGCAGAAGTTCTATTTTCATGATCTTACATAATGTATAATATTACATAGTAATATTATGCATCATCATCATATTTATATACCTAAGTGCCCCAGTGAAGGATCAGGTCCCTGTTGTGCTAGGCACTATACAAACACAGAACAAAAAGAAAGTAAGTAATATTTTCAGGATCTTACATTCATACAGCACTTTTCATTACAAAAAATCATCCCAAAGCCCTCTCCAAATAGCACCAACTCTATACACCACTGAAATGCAGCCAGATCTAGCAGTTGTTAATCAGGGTACAGCAACACTATGCATCAGTTTAGGACAGCGAGTGAAGAATGTTGTATTGAGTTGACATGTACAGAATGGTAGCTGGGTAATCACATCCCATCTCAGTCAGGAGCTTGATCAGGACATCAAGTCGGACAACAGTGTCTCTTGGGAAAAGAGGTACACAGCATTCAAAAGGCAGCCTTAGGCCTGCTCTACAGTTAAATTTTGCCGGCATTGTTACTTCAGTTAGGAGTATGAAAAAAAAATCACACTTGTAGCTGACATACCTATGCTGGTAAAAGCCTTAGTGTAGATGCAGTCATACTGGCAAAAAAAGTGCTTTTGCCAGTATGGCTTATTTCGTTTGGGGAACTGGTATAAAATATACTAGCAAAATAACTCTCTGGCCTGTATAAGCTGTGTCTCCATTAGGAGGCTTTGCCAGTACAGATATTATAGACAGATAGATAGATCATAGAATCATAGAATATCAGGGTTGGAAGGGACCTCAGGAGGTCATCTAGTCCAACCCCCTGCTCAAAGCAGGACCGATCCCCAATTAAATCATCCCAGCCAGGGCTTTGTCAAGCCTGACCTTAAAAACTTCTAAGGAAGGAGATTCCACCACCTCCCTAGGTAACCCATTCCAGTGTTTCACCACCCTCCTAGTGAAAAAGTTTTTCCTAATATCCAACCTAAATCTCCCCCACTGCAACTTGACACCATTACTCCTTGTTCTGTCATCTGCTACCACTGAGGACAGTCTAGAGCCATCCTCTTTGGAACCCCCTTTCAGGTAGTTGAAAGCAGCTATCAAATCCCCCCTCATTCTTCTCTTCCGTAGACTAAACATCCCCAGTTCCCTCAGCCTCTCCTCATAACTCATGTGTTCCAGTCCCCTAATCATTTTTGTTGCCCTCCGCTGGACTCTTTCCAATTTTTCCACATCCTTCTTGTAGTGTGGGGCCCAAAACTGGACACAGTTCTCCAAATGAGGCCCCACCAGTGTCGAATAGAGGGGAACGATCACGTCCCTCGATCTGCTGGCAATGCCCCTACTTATACAGCCCAAAATGCCATTGGCCTTCTTGGCAACAAGGGCACACTGTTGACTCATATCCAGCTTCTCATCCACTGTAACCCCTAGGTCCTTTTCTGCAGAACTGCTGCCGAGCCATTCGGTCCCTAGTCTGTAGCGGTGCATTGGGTTCTTCCGTCCTAAGTGCAGGACTCTGCACTTGTCCTTGTTGAACCTCATCAGATTCTTTTGGCCCAATCCTCCAATTTGTCTAGGTCCCTCTGTATCCTATCCCTACCCTCCAGCGTATCTACCTCTCCTCCCAGTTTAGTGTCATCTGCAAACTTGCTGAGGGTGCAATCCACACCATCCTCCAGATCATTTATGAAGATATTGAACAAAACCGGCCCCAGGACTGACCCTTGGGGCACTCCACTTGATACCGGCTGCCAACTAGACATGGAGCCATTGATCACTACCCGTTGAGCCCGACAATCTAGCCAGCTTTCTATCCACCTTATAGTCCAGATATAGATAGCTAATCTAATATGCCTATGTGCCATGTTAAAGACATCATTTTCCACCTTGCCTTAACCAGGCCTGTGTAGTTATTTGTGGCCACACTGGCTTCGATTCCTAAATACCTGATGGAGCCACAAAGCAGGTGCTTAGACATCTGATCAAATTTCAGACATAATTTGTGCCTAAAGAGAAACTGAGGCCACCGTCTGAAGATTTGTGCCTAAATATTTATCGCATGTAGAGATGGGCCTGAAATGGAACCTCAAGTCTGAATCCATAATCAGATTTGGGAGACAAGGTTGATTTGAATAATTGGGTCTGAACCTTCCTGTAAGCAGGTGGCTTTCTTACTGGCCCAGGGAAGAACCAGGGCCATGCCAGAGTCTGTTTCAGGCCCTTGCATCAGGGCCATGGGCAGTGCATAATGGAGACTAGGAGAGGCTAAGCCTCCCCAAACCTCTCACTTCTGGGGAGGGGGGCACGGATTATCACATGGACCCACAGGACCCATGCCCAGGGGCCCCTGGAAAAATCTCCCCCGACCAGGGCCACATTAAAAACGGTCTCAGGGCCATAGCGGGGTGTGTGTGAAAGGAGCAAGCAAGCAGAGGGCAGGGCCTCGGGGGAAAAGGCCGAGTGGGGAAAGAACATGGCGGGGCTGTGGAGGAAGGGGCGGAATGGGGTGGGGCCATGGACGGGGCTGTGGGCAAAAAGAGCGGAACAGGGGACAGGCTCCAGGCTTGGAGCTCCGGCAAGGGCCAAGAGCTCTGCTGTGGTCCCAGCTGGGGTTGAGAGCTCGACTCCAGCCAGGGCTGAGCTCTCAGCCAACCTCCCCTCCCCATAACCCCGACCAAGCTCTCAGCCCAGGTTTTTTCCCTGCCTCTCCTTAAGTCCCTTGCTCAGTCATGCGACAGGCAGGCAGCCCTTAATCCTTTCTTGGATGTTTCACCCTGTCTCACTGCCCCTATGGGATTGGTTCTGGATGTAGCCCCTGCTGGTGGAAATCTCATGAGAACACCTTGAGAGATTTCATAGATTCATAGAGTTTAAGGCCAGAAGGGACCATTGGGTCATCTAATCTGACTGTCTGTAGCTCTCAGGCCACTACATTTCACCCAGTTACCCCTGCACTGAGCCCAATAACTTGTCATTTCAGTACCACCAAATCCAAACTCCAATGCTGTTATACTCAATTAGATCTGCCTGCTGGCCGATTTGAGTATTTTATGACAAGCGGCAGGCCATTTGTGCAGAAGAATGACAAAATAAAAGGAAAAAAACCTCAGCTGCCAATAAATACAGACCTTGATTGGAACATAAGTATTAGTGTTTCTATCTTTTAACAGAGTTTATAAATCAACATTATTACCTGCAGTGCTTAATTTGTAATGAAAGAGATGCCAGGGCTCAGCCCCAGCACAAATTTAAGCACTGGCTGGGCAGCCGAATAGCAGCAGCTGCTGGCCGGGCACCCAGCTCTGAAGGCAAAGCCCCCACCAGCAGCAGTGGAGAAGTGAGGGTGGCATGGTGGGGTATATTGCCACCTTTATTTCTGCGCTGCTGCTGACAGCAGTGCTGCCTTTAGAGCTTAGCACCCGGCCAGCAGTCACCACTCTCCAGCTGCTCAGACAGAGTTTAATTGGCAGGCCACACAGGAAACTGATCTAATGAGGTTCAATAAGGATAAGTGCAGGGTCCTGCACTTAGGACGGAAGAACCCAATGCACAGCTACAGACTAGGGACCGAATGGCTAGGCAGCAGTTCTGCGGAAAAGGACCTAGGGGTGACAGTGGACGAGAAGCTGGATATGAGTCAGCATTGTGCCCTTGTTGCCAAGAAGGCCAATGGCATTTTGGGATGTATAAGTAGGGGCATAGCGAGCAGATCGAGGGACGTGATCGTTCCCCTCTATTCGACATTGGTGAGGCCTCATCTGGAGTACTGTGTCCAGTTTTGGGCCCCACACTTCAAGAAGGATGTGGATAAATTGGAAAGAGTCCAGCGAAGGGCAACAAAAATGATTAGGGGACTGGAACACATGAGTTATGAGGAGAGGCTGAGGGAGCTGGGATTGTTTAGCCTGCAGAAGAGAAGAATGAGGGGGGATTTGATAGCTGCTTTCAACTACCTGAAAGGGGGTTCCAAGGAGGATGGCTCTAGACTGTTCTCAATGGTAGCAGATGACAGAACGAGGAGTAATGGTCTCAAGTTGCAGTGGGGGAGGTTTAGATTGGATATTAGGAAAAACTTTTTCACTAGGAGGGTGGTGAAACACTGGAATGGGTTACCTAGGGAGGTGGTAGAATCTCCTTCCTTAGAGGTTTTTAAGGTCAGGCTTGACAAAGCCCTGGCTGGTATGATTTAACTGGGAATTGGTCCTGCTTTGAGCAGGGGGTTGGACTAGATGACCTTCTGGGGTCCCTTCCAACCCTGATATTCTATGATTCTATGATTCTATGAAACCTTGGCGGGCCAAATTTCAAAGGATCCTCAACTTGGCCTCTATATGTGCCCATGCAAATTTCCTGTAGTAGCTATTTTTGCAAAGTATCACCTGCACATTCCTAGGTTGGTCTGACATGATTTTTTCCTGACAAATCCATGTTGACTGTTACTTAGCACCTTATTATCTTCTAGGCGTTTGCAAATTGATTGCTTGATTATTTGCTCCAGTGTCTTTCCAGGTACTGAAGTTAAGCTGACTGGACTGTAATTCTCCAGATATTCCTAATTCCCCTTTTTATAGATTGGCATTACCTTTGCTCTTTTCCAGTCTTCTGCAATCTCTCCCATCTTCCATGAGTTTTCAAAGATAATCACTAATGGCTCACTCAGTATCTCCTCAGTCAGCTCCTTGAATGTTCTAGGATGTATTTCATCAGGCCCAGCTGATTTGAAGACATCTAACTTGTCTATGTAATTTTGAATTTGTTCTTTCCCTATTTTAGCCTCAGATCCTACCTCATTTTCACTGGCATTCACTACGTTAGACGTCTGATCACTACTAACCTTTTTGGTGAAAATGGAAACAAAAGAGGCATTTAGCACTTCTGACATTTCCATGTTTTCTGTTATTATCTCTTCCCCCCCAGCCCTACATTGAGTAATGGGCCTATCCTGTGCTTGGTCAGGTTAGGAAAATCTGGACCACTGCCTCTACACCACATATGAAAGTTTCTTGCAAACATGCATGCAGCACTTCAAGCATGAGCCTGCCCACAAAGAAGTTAATGGCAAAACTGAGGATATAGAGAAACATAGGAAAGTTCATTATTTTTCTTTTATACAAAAGAGGAAAAACTCTGCTCTCTGTGACACAGCTACAGCTGAATTCCGTAGGATTGCAGCAACACAATGCAGACTTGAGCCTAGATCTGTAAAATTAGAGTATATTAGCAAATGCTGAGGATCTTGCATGTAATGACTTGCATGCTACAAAGAACATCAGCTGTGGTTTACCTGAATGATTGTAGTGTCTGTATAGGGTTTTCCCCTCGCGGTAATTACTTGTCTGAGCGCTTCTCTTACTTCCTTCTGAATATAACAAAGTTAAAATACAAGTATTTACAATATGAACCAATTTGTAATCTGTTAGGTTTCCCTATCTCACCCCGCACCTGTGCATTTGAAAATCTTCTGCCTTTGTGTTATGCTCACTGTCCAGTCCTGTTTAACCCAAGTGGACATCATGCAGCTGCCCTATGGGAAGCTGGCCAAGGACTATTGGATGCACCATAAACACAAAATCTGAAAACAAACCTGACACTGTAAAGAGAAGTTTCATTGCTTCAATGTGAACAGCAAAGGATTTTTTTATAAATTGGGCTTGTGCCCTTTTTTGCTTCTTATGATGAACAGAGAAGACTTGACATTGTTTAGCATTTTTTATTTTTTTAGATTGTGGGCAGTCTTTTTGTTTGTTTGGCTTAGAAATATCAAGAATGCAATATCTGGCCATCCCTGTTTTTTGTGGGCAGACCTGTGGGAAGTTTAAGGGCATTTATGTTGGGCCCTTAACTTTATGGAAGGGATGAGAGTGCTGAATCTTTAACAAAGAATTAATTATTACACCATCATTCAAACATTTTAATCAAAACCAAATAAACAGTCTGATGAAAAATCCTTCTCTCTCTCTTAGTAGCTGAACTTTCATGTTTAGCTCTTGTGATGTCGCTAGTTCTCCAGTCACCACAGAGTCTTCCAATCTAGAGAGGATCTGAACTTCTCATGTAAAAAACAAGCAGGAACCAAACCTCCCCCTCCACTCCTCAACTTTCAGACCTTCTTTTTTCAGCATAAAAAATAGAGGGGGAAAGATGCATGCTCCATTTTTTCCCCTTTGTGGGTCACTTTGAACTTCGGCATCCTGCCAAGTTTACATCCAGCTGTGCATACCCTGCTGTGTCCTCTATGAGAAGATGGATCAGCCATTAAATGACAATCCACAATGCTATGGGAAGAAAAGCTTTGAAAACTGGCCCCAAGTGGGGATCAAATTCCCCACCATTGTATGTCAGCGCTTCAGGATGAATCCCTGACATCTGCACCAAAGAAATGCTGATAATTTGATAAATCTGCCCTCCAAGACAGCTAACCCACAGGGGCAGAAAACATCATCATACTAGTTATAAGAGCTCTCAGCACTGGTATGCTGAAGACCAAAGTAGGCTGAATAGGGCAAGACAGGGTTTGGGTGAAGCCATGTATTCAAAGTCTGAATGTCCATTTGATTTGATTGTATCCCTTGCTATTTTCTATTTGTGAATGTCTGTGAAAACAGCCTTTTGTATGTGCAAATATTTGGGCAATACTCCAATCAGAAAACAAATCAGGATGTCAATGAAAAGAATTAGACAAGTCATTCATTTTTCTTCTTCTTAAAAGTTTCAGACACCCATGAAAGGAGCAAAAACAATACCATGTGACTTACATGATCAGTCAGACACCAGGAATGTAATCTATTCAAAGACACCAACTCATGAATAACCCATAGGCTGACATTTTTTCATATGTCTTGATTATCATATAGTTATTTCCCAAAAGGAATAAAAAGGGTGAGATTCACAATCAAAATTATTCAGGATGGATAATTGCATCAGCTCTGCCAATGATGCAGATGCATTCTTGCAGCTGGTCTTACAGTGCTTACCATTATTATAGTCACATCCTCATCTGAAACGCATGCTGAAGAGAGACATTAAGAGCATGAGGTCTTCCCTATAGTCCTGATTCAGGAAAGCACTTAAGCATGTGCTTAGCTTTAAGCATAAAAAAATCAATCAGACTTAATCACATGCTTAGATGCTTTCCTCAACGGGTGCCTATATGAGTATGTACATAACTAAATATGCCTTTTCCTTCAGAAATCATTCCTGGGGTGCTGCTGTGGAAAGCGTAATGCTCCATAGTATTTCCTGAACTGATTCAGCCAATTGTAGTGGTTTTCCCCTCCTTCACTAGCTGGGTTGCAGGTGGATGTTGTTTGAGAGAGGCTGGGAAAACGAAAGAGATAATGTTACAAGGGCCTGATACCAGCTTACTGCAGCCAGTGCTAGGGGAAGTGGGCCCTGCCATGCTTGGGTTCTAGTTACATTAAAAAGCACTGCAACATGGTCTCACCTTCTTCATTTGGCTACCCCTGACATTGCAATGTATACCGTCAGAAGCTCATCTCTTTCCTTTGGAGCCCACACCACATTCCTACAAAGCATCCTTCTAAGGGGCTTTTAAATTAAAAAAAAAATACTGTCCTGGAAGCGTTGGGAGTTGGAGTCATGGTTTGACTGTAAGGCCCCCTTCCCCACTCAAGCCCCACTAAGGGTACGTCTACACTGAACGTAAGCCCGGGGTTAGTGGCCCTGGTGCCAGCTGGGCTTGAGCATCTACATTGTATTTTAACCCTATGTTAAGACTTTTCTAACCCATGCTCAACCCTAGGGCTCTGGGGTCCACACTGCAGTGCACAGACCCAAGTCAAAGTAACCATATCCCAGAGTCCCTAGCTGCCCCCCACCTCCGAAATGTGGCCACTTTACTGCCCTAGGGCCATGGTGCACTGTAGGAAAACTTTACTGCCTGCCCTGCACGTTTCCAGGAAGCAGCTCACTTCGCAAAAGGCTTGATCGCTTTGCTCTCCACAGCAAACCCAGGAGGGCTCTCTGACAGTGGGTTTGCAGATCAGAAGAGAATGGGTTAACACTGACCTGAGCTGCTGCCATTTGCAAAGCCATTTGAAAAGAGCTTCCATTTTCAATAAAGTGGATTGCAGATTGTTGGGACCGAGAAGACTAAGGAAGTTGTCCCGTGGAATTGTGGGATACTTCCAGCTGACACCCGGGAACAAAGTCAAGCAGGGCTGCATCTATACTGCAAAGCAATAGGGCTTGGACCCTGGGTCCTGGCTTAACTTGAACTTGGGCCCTGCAGGGTCCTGGGACCCTGGGCCTGAGCCCTGGGCTAGCGCAATTACAGAATAGACGCAAGGGGGATTAGGCCTGAGCCCATGCTCAAGCACAGACTTATGTTGCAGTGTAGACATGCCCTTAGAGGCTCTGTGGGGTGTCTGTGTGCTTTGCCAAGGAAACTGTATCTATGCCAGCCCCACAAAGGTTAGCATGGAAGGCCACTTTGGGGCAGGCTAGGGGTGACCATAGATCCATATTACTCAGATCCAGAGGCCCCAGTATCCTGCATGACTGGTGCAAAGGGTCTGTGACCCTTAGTCCAAACTATAGGCTGATTAACATCCATAGGGAAAGGGGTATGTAGTCCCATGAAACAGCCCTGGGTTAGTTGGGGGGTGGATTTCACCTCCATGGTCTCCTGTACTCCACCTGGATAGAACCTAAATATTCTGATTTTGTGTGTGTGGAGTGAATCCCCCCCATAGTGCAGGTATAGTAATAGCATGAAAAGAGGCAGTTCAAAGTTCCCAGTAGCCTCTTGCCAAAGTGCTCAAATAGGGCACCGCCTATCGGCGAGGAAGGCAGACTGCTGTTTGTGGACCTTCAGTTCTTGGCTTCTTTACTGAAACTACCAACACATTGAGATGGGGGCCGTTTGTGATGTAGGCACCTGTCTGCTCGGAACCACCCTAAGACCATCACCTCATTTAATACCATTCTCTGTGTGGTATGTTTTCATTCTCCTACTAAATAAACAGATTGAGGAGTAGAGCCATGGGGTAGCCAGCTGGGCAGGAGTATTTGACCTTTTCTGTACATGAGCCAAAATAACAAGGAAATGTATTATTAAAAAGAGAATGATTTGGGGTGACAACCAGGTTTGCTAGAATTCCATGTTCTTACCTGGATGACTGTGAGCAGCTTTTCCTCCACATTTGAAAAATTCCACTTGAGAACATATGCATCAGCTAAGAGCATCTGCTGTGGAGTCCAGCAGGGCATGAGGAGCTTCTCACTGTCATTGCACACAGAAAACAAAATTGCAGTAAGAGCGGCAGTTTTCCAGTAGCTTTGTGGCTCTTCCAATCCCAGTACTGAGAACCTGTGCTTGGCTATGGCCATATTTGTGATGTGTAGCTCACCTGGCTAATTGCATGCACAAACCAGCATTCAGCTCTCATCTAAGGAACAATTGCAACTAGGTAAAATATTTTTTTGATCCTCCCCAGGCCCATCCTTTTTTTATTCTTCTCTTTTTGGCCCTTTTTGTGGCCCCATTCTCCAATTACATACTCCCCTCTCCTCTGTCTCACTCCTTCCTGCAGCTCTCTCTTGGCCTTGTCTGCACTAGAAAGTTGTACTGTTAGTGTAGACCCTTCAGACTCCCAGTGTGGATACAGCTATATAGGTTCAAAGGTGATATTCCTATATGGGAAGGGGAATAACTATACAGTACCAGTATAAGTCGAAAGGCTTTGGAACTCTCCTCCCCACTTGCTCCAACAGATCATAGATTTGGTGACCTTCAGAACATGCCGTACGACACACAATTACACATTTCCCCAGGCTTTTCTTGAAGGGAGCGTGTATGTGATTGATGGATGGGATGACTGAGGCGTCAGAAGGCTGGGCAGAGTAATGTAGTTTGACAATGGGAAGAGGAGGCAAAAATTCTTTACATCTGAAATAGGGTCTGCTGGTGTCACTGGGTTTGGGCAGCCTGTTGTTGATCTTCAAAATGTGCTTTAGGTAACATTTGTGTAATAAGCCTAGCGTTAAGAGAGGTGCAGTGTACAAGTTCAGATAAATATGCTTACAGCTGAGAACACCTATTATATTTGTCGTGAAAGAGATATTCGGGATAGTTAAATGCAAAGACCTTAGCACCATCAGCCCTCCCAAAAGTTCTATTAGTTCTGAGTACTCAAGAGTCTCTGTTGGGAAATAATAGAGCTCTCCTGCTATTTCCACACAAGCTACGCTGATTCATGTGCAAGAGTCAATCATTAAAGCAAACATTCATATTTTACAGAATATACATGATATTCTGTGTGGATAGGTGCCATCCCAGGGCACCCCCAATGGCCTGGGATGGCACTGCACACACCTTGCCTCAGTTTCCCTCTGACTTCTCAGAATAATCCACTTACACCCAGAGTCTTTAAAAACGATATTCCCGCCACCCAGGGTCTCCTTTATTCAAATTAATCAGCTCCCCCAAAAGAACGCTCCTTTTAGATTCAGGGTTTCACAGCCCTCCCTCTTGGTCTGTGTGCGTCTAGCCCCAGCCCCCACAACTTGTAAAATCTCCCCTCAAGCTCAGAGTATCCACAGTCCTCCTTGGTGGGGCCTGCCTGTGTTTACCCAGTCAGGCTAGTGGACTTTCCCCTGAGGTACAGAGGTTGCATAGCCCTCCTTCTTGGGGCTTTACCCTAGCTGAGTTCTTCCCCTCAGCAGCTTCCCCTGACTAGGCTTGGAACCTCCATTTTGATTCATCTACCCAGTTACCCGACTACTCCCTTAATCCTTCCCAGGGGGTCTAGCAACCAAAACACCTGCCTGGGCCAGCTGAGAGAGATGAAAGCCATGTCTCACCCACTCTGCTAGGCTCCTGGTCCTGGGCCCATAAAGGAACACTAGCCTGGGTTTTTCCTGTCACTTCATCCTCCCAGAAACTAACTATTCCATGGGATCACCTGCCTCTCATCTCCTTCCAGGTAACCAGAACAGACATTGGGTAATTGGCCTCTCACACAACCTCTCCTGACCTTAAAGAATCAGAACCAGCCCATCATAATCGCTCTTAAAGGGCTGGGAAAGTAAATAATATTTGGCTGCAAACATACAGCCCCAGTTCAGCACATGCCTAACGTTAAGCATGCGAGTAATCACACTGAAGTCAATGGACTCCTCACTTGCTTGAAGTCATCACGTTCTTTGCTGAATTGGGGCAACCAAGACATTTCCCAAGTTGTACAGTCAGTTCTTAGGGTCACTGGCTTCCAGAACAGCACAGAGATGGAGCACTGCTTGGTCAGAACTGATCTTCACTATGAATTTATGCTGTTAGGATAAGGACAACAATCATTACATTTCAGGGTGCAAAGTTTAAAATGTCAGATGAGAAGCTACACAGAATAGAAAAAGCCACATCACCATAGCAATAAAAATTATCAATGTATCCAGACTTTAATGCAACTGGTATGGTCGTACACGTTACGAATTACACCTGGTAGGACACGCACACAACTGCTGCGAATTACACCTGGTAGGACACGCACACAACTGCTGCGAATTACACCTGGTAGGACACGCACACCAATGCTGCGAATTATATCTGATAGGTCACGCACAGTTCGAATCTAGGCTGAGGCACATAAACAAAGTCCACAACTGCAGAGTTCCCAAAAGACACTAAGTTTATTACGCTCGAGCATGGTGCCCCCCTGCTAGCCAGGAGGGGACCCTGAATAGAGATTATACAAAGGTTATATACTTTTTAGCAAAGCATGTTGCCCTCGTGCATCAGAAACCTTAGCCAATAAACAAACCCTTGTTTTATCTACTACCTATCCCTGCTTGGTGCATTCCTCGTGCTAAACCAGTATGTTAATTACACAGCATGGTCCTAAAGCCATGCATCAGTAACTTTTATTATCAGGATGGGAGGCCTCACATCAAAGGCCAAGAGATAGGGAGTTAGAGACTGACAAAAAACAGATACTGGGAGTCAAGGCAGGCTGGAGACAAGGAGGAGGATTTTCACAGGGATTCAGTATCTAAGGATCACTCCTCCTGGTGTATGATGTGCTTGCTTTTAGACAATGGTGGGCCCCAAACCAAAATGGAGTCACATGTGCTAACTTTTCCGTAACAATCATTATCCCCACTAACACTTTCTAAGCCCCATCTACAAGTTCTTAAGTACACAGTGAAGGATGTTCAGTGCTCAAATCACTAGCTTGTGCTGTGGAAAACACAGGTTCAATTCCTGCTCTGCCACAAACATCCTGTGTGAAGCTTAGCAAATCCCCAAGGCTCTCTGTGCCTCATCTGTAAAATGAGGATAACAGTGCTCCCCTATAAATACTTTAAAGATACAGTAGTGAGTTCAGATACTACAGTGATAGAAGCCATGTAAGTACCATAGCCAGAAAGAGGTTGGGTGTATGCTGAGGGAACTGCTTCCATGGCCAGTATTCTGAAGACAGGCACAGATGTGCCGTTATTGGTGAGAATTGTTAACATCTCCCTGTGGGAAGGCTGGATTCTATTCCCCATTAAACAAGAAGAAGTGCTGCCCCTGCTAAACAAAGTACCCCTAGGATACTGTGATCAGTAATGGGCACCACATTACCAGGAGAAACAACCTGCAGGGAGTTCAGAGACGAGCGGTGCACCCCACTATGCTTGCTCTGTTCTAACGCAGCTCACACCACGGTGAGCCCTTCATTTGTTAAGCTCAAGGCTAAATGGCTGCAATCAGTTGTCTTGTGCTTGAGCCATCCTTGAAAAGCACTTGAAGAGTGCAGGGGCCAGAGTGCTGGGGCTGACCTTGGGAGTGGGGTGAGCCATCTGTGGGTAGAGGGACAGATTATGTGCTACAGATGAGTTCCACTCAGTGCAGCAGAGCTGGGGGACTGTCAGAGGGCTGGTTACAGCTCCCCAATTCTTTGTTCAGCTCTTCCCTAACACAGGTTAGAGTACCATCTGCCAGTTAAAAACAGATGGAGCAGAATACAATCCAGCCTCACCTCTGAGCCAGGGCTGCACAGGGGTAATGCAGGAGCCCACCGTGCTATCCCTAACACCACTGGGAACTCCTCAACAGCGGAATCCCTAGGTGAGATGCAGGTGATTTCCAATCTGTGTAGCACAAAGTGAGCAGAATAGGGAAGTCAATCTGCTCCATAATGCCTATTCTTTAGACTAAAAAGAAAAGGAGGACTTGTGGCACCTTAGAGACTAACCAATTTATTTGAGCATGAGCTTTCGTGAGCTACAGGATGAAGTGAGCCGTAGCTCACGAAAGCTCATGCTCAAATAAATTGGTTAGTCTCTAAGGTGCCACAAGTACTCCTTTTCTTTTTGCGAATACAGACTAACACGGCTGTTACTCTGAAACCTATTCTTTAGACTGTCTCTCTCATCAGTTCTGGGTGAAGTTCAAGGTAGTGCTCTACCGAGCCCTAGATGGTCAGGGATTCAGCTACCATGATACCATTTATAAATTGGTAGGTATCTAGGGGCTTGTCTTCATGTACAGCGCTACGTACAGCTGTCTTCACGTACAGCTGCGCTGCTGTAGCGCTTTAGTGAAGACGTTCCTACGCCGACATAGCACTGTCTACACGTGGATTTTTTCACACCCTTGAACAACGTAGTTATTCCAATATAGGTCTGTAGTGCAGACATGGCCTAGGTCTGGAAAGGAAATCCATTCACTAAGAACAAGCAAAATCAAACTCATAGAAAAGACACTGTTATGCGGGAGGTTGGGTGGCTCCCATGAAGTGTGTCTTTGGCCTATGGGCAGTGCTGGTAGGCATGACAGCTGCCTTCCATTAGATTAGGCTTAATGAGGGAGGTGTTAAATGCCCCTTTCACGAGTAATAGCTGAAACAATAGAAGCTACCACCAAAAATAACAGACCAGCATGGCAAGGCTGGAGTAGGAGTTGAGCCATGTGGTCTAAGGAATTTTTCCTGGGGCCTGAATACAACCGCAGGGAGGCGGGGCATTGTTTGATGGAGCTGAGCATGTCTGTGAGCCAGAGGAAGTCAGACGCAGACAGAAAGCAGCAAGAAATCCAAGGAGACAGTAAGAGAAGCACTAGTAGTGAGACCATGAGAGAAAGCCTAAAGAGAGAGCTTTTGGGGCAGTGCGCTGGCTGGAAAAACTGTGAGCAAAGAAAATGCCTCCTGTTGTTTGATTCCTACTGTGCTTAGGGAAACAGGACTTTGTGTCCATTCTTTGTAAATAAACAGGATTGCACCAAAGAAATACCTATAATCAATTTCTCCTCCTAACCCACAAGGGCCTGAATATTGGCTAACCTTTCCCTTTATGTTCCTTCAGTATCACTGCCTTGAAGCTCAAGAAGGACCATGCTCAGAACTAAAAGGGAAACTGAAAGGTATAAAGAAAAAGAGGAATTACTTGGAACATACCTTCTGTACATATTAAAGCCCCATTCATAAATGAGAAGACATTTGCTGAAGCTCATATCACCGCCTGTAAGTGTGGAAAGGTAAGAAGACAAACAGGCATTACAACATTTTGTATAGGTAGTAAGCAATCCTGCTTCTTTGAAGTCATCTCTTTTGCATCTCAGGTTGGGAAAAATTGTGGTTTCCAACTGACTCAGATGATCTTTTAATGCAGACTCATCTGTGTTGCTAGCAGACACGAAGGAGGGAATCTGTGTTGCCATGCACTCCATTAGCAGTTTCTCGAGATCTTTATTCCAGTATTTTGGGCTCCAGGTTGAAACAGATTCCATGTCTTTGACACTGTCAAACCATTCTTTTTCTTTCTCTTTTTCCCACTTCAGTGATTCACCTACTGATTTCAGTGGCTCCAGTAATGTACTATCGCTTCCACTGATTGCTTCTTGCACAACTGACCACATTCTTTCTGCTACTTTTTTGTAAAGTAAGTCAATCTTTATTTCAGTCTTATGTTCAGATTGCTCCAGATCATAAATGTGATTACAAGCTTCAAGAAATTTTGCTTGATCTATCAATTCACAAATGGCTTGATCTGAAACAGTAAAAATACAACCAGAAGGTTATTGACTTAGCTATAGACTTTTCTGTGGCAATCATCATAGTAATTACTGAGCAACTCACAGATAATAAGAATGTATTCTCATAACAGCCTTGTGAGGTAGGGTATCATTCCCATTTTACAGGTGGGTAGACTGAGGCCCGGTGCAGTTAAGTGATTTTCCCACAGTCATCTATAGTTAGGCTTGGCAGAACTTATATATATATATATATATAAGTTTGACAAATACTATTGATGTTTGTTTTTCAACACTTTTCAACATTTTTAACCATTTACATTTTCACAGTTGCACACAATTATGGGATTTAATCTTTTTTTAATTTTTGATTGATTTAAACTTTCACAGTTCCAGGAAACGGGATGAGTCAGACAATAATTATTTAATGACAGTAGAAGCTGCAATTCAAAAAGTTAAAGCTTTATAACACTTAAAACACAATTGTCAACATCACAAGTCAAAATATACAAAGTGAATAGCCTTAAATCAAACTCTAATAAGTTCTCAAGCAGCAATAAAAAACTAACTCTTCCAAGCCTAGCTATAGCAGAGCCAGGAAGGGAACCCAGATCTCATGGGAGCCTATGCTTAACAGGCTGGTGTGATTGGTGATTGGTCACACCCTGGAAACAATTTCAAATACATCTGTGGAGAATGAGGGAGTTGTGTATTATTTTTTATACATATCATGTGCACCTCAGTATACTTGTGCCTGATTACATAGAGTGAAAAGAGGCTGTAAGTGGGAAACCAATAGGAAATTAAACAAATGAAGCAAAGATAAGGTACAGTCCATAGAATACAAAGCGTCTCTAAGGAGACAAGCAAGAAGCCACTGATTGGAGAATACTCAATGCCTGGCTCCAGCTCCTATGGCAAGGTCCACTCTTCCCAGACTTAAATCAGGATCAAAGGAGATGCTAAAACTTTAAAGACGTTGGCCTAGGAAGGGACTTGAGTGGGTTGTCATGATGGGGACAGACACGCACATTGGGAGAGGGGGTCACAGAGCATGCTGCAGAACTCAGTGTCACTCTTCTGACCAGAGATGGGATTAACTCTATTGAGCTTGCAAGGAAAGATTAAGGTGTAGGCTAGGGGGAATATGCACACAGGCATTTTTGCTTGGTACCTTTGCTCTGCATGCTTTGTACCTTTGGGTGAATAGCCAATGCTTTGTTTTGAAGAAGCTATTTCTGTGTCCCTGCAAATCCATTCTGTAACAGGCTCTCAGAGAAAAAGGACCTGAAGATGCCAAACCCAGCTGGGTCTGTCAGGTTAGCCAGAGGGCTGCATCCTGAGATTTAGTGTAAGGGTGGTAAAGTCACATGGTTCCAACCTTGGGAGTGGTTTAGGCAGAAAGGTCTGTCACCTGAGGGGCGCACTCGAGAGGGATTAAGTGTTTGTCTACACTGCACACTAAGCCCGGGCTTTGACTCAGGTTTGAGCCCAAGACTCCCTTCCATCCACGCACAAATCAGTCTGACTCAGGTCAGCAAACACCTAGGACCTGTCATTTTGCAGCATGGACGCAGGTTAAGCCGCAGACCTGTGACAAAAGGTCTGCATAGTGCAGTATGGATGTGTTAGCAAGGCTGTGAAACCCAGGCCCAGCAATTGTAAACCCAGGTTTACAATGCAGTTTTTAGATGTGCAAGCATGGGTTTGGAAACACCGACTCCACAAGCACGGGTCCCACAAACCTGAGCTTGAGAGCATGGTAAACACACCTTAAAAGGGGTCTAAAGCCCAGCTCGTCCTGTAACCGTGTCTATATCTTCACTGTTTGTCATTAGAGTCAGGATCTAGGAGGGCATTGCCCTTTGAGGGATATAAAATGATGATTCACATAGGAAAATATTTCCCAGAATCCAGCTTCCTACAAAATGCTTTATTGCGTCTAGTTAAAAAGTGTGCTTTTAACTCTCTGGTTCTCGCAACAATCACTAAATATCAATTGCCTGTGGCAACAGATTTCTTTGGTATCGACATATAAGGGCCCAGCACCTGCCAATAGATGTAGCATGGAGAGGGAGCTAAGTTGGCATAGGTTACCTACACATGCCCCCCTGCACATTACTGGAAGAACAGACCACCATATGAACGCGCTTACAACCAAACTCTGTTTGTATCACATCTTTCTTACAAACTAAACCAAGGCGCTTTGCAGGGATGGATAATACAGTTGCAAAGTGAAATACAAATGAGCAACAGAAAGGGGAGTAAAATTTAAAAACATCGGCAAGGAGAAATATACGTTTCAGAAAAGATTTGAAATGAGAGGTGAATCCAGGAGGAGGAGAGAGATAGGAAGCCTATTCCAAATGGCAGGAGCTGATGAAAACAGTTTCCACGGTGAGAAGAAACAGAGGAGGCCAGTGGGGAGGACAGACTAGCAGAGAGTACCTGAGAGATACTGCCTCCCACCAGACTCTTTGTCCACAGGCTTCTCTTCAGTTTCCTTCTTCAGAGAGGACAAATTCTTCAGCAATTTGACTGCCATATCTTTCACTCTCTGTCTCCTATTTAATTTCTGCTTCTCTCTCTCCTTTTGAGCCTCTTTGGGAAGCATTGATGCATTTTCACCAGAAGATGGTCCCTGCAGCTTTCTCCCTCCAGTGAATTGGGAATGCTTCATTTTCTTCATACTCCCAGCAAGAGCCAAGTGTTTGCTATCAGGTTGAGAAGGCTAACTGGAAAACGTTGGCACCACGGTAACTCAATGTGATTTTACAGTCTCAGCCTTAAGAGTTCCTCTCCGTGAGACGATGTGTGTCCCCAGATTCAGTGTCAGTGCTCCTGCCTGCTTTAACTGACTTCCAGACAACTCAGCCAACTTCATATCACAGTTTAGTCCAGTAGTTTTTATAAGCTACCAGCTCTATTATGTAAATGATCCCCTGTAGCGTTACATCAGCAAACGTTTAATATATAACCTAACCACAGGTGCTGGAGGAAAGCCAGTGGAATTTTCAGGAGTTTCTAAATGACTAAAATTCCCCTGGATGCTGCCAACTAATTTAGATTCAGAGTCCTCTCAGTCCAAGAGATTTTGTTGTTGACAGTGTCCATGAATACACACAGCAGCTCTACACTGATGCACTTGCCTTTCTACTGACTCTGTATTATTTCTCAGCACCAAGGTCATCCCTTATTTTAGACCCAAATTTGCCTCCATCTTCAAGAAAATCAAGTATTCTGCCCTTGGGTGTACAAACCCCAAAAGGACTGGCATTGGTTTTCATTGTTGAGCTATGAGGTTCTTATGTGATGAGACTGGATCTGAACTCCTGGGGTACCCAGCGGCTGCCTGGGACTGCCCTCTAGCAGTTATACACAACCCAGCATTTTTAAATGAAGAAAATGAAAAGTTTAAAGTTATAGGGGCAACTAGCCCCTTGGTTATCTACCAACAAGAGAACCAGCCAGCCTCTCTCATCCCTCTCTATGGTATCCTACATAATTAGGGCCTTTCTTTTCATATATTCAAGTACAGTAACTCCCATTGTCATTCATGGGGATGGCTGTAAGTGTGGAAAGAGATCTCTATCAAGCGTTCTTACAACTACAATACCCACCTGCTGAAGTGAAGAAACATATGGACAGAGCCAGAAGAGTACCCCAAAGTCACCTACTACAGGACAGGCCCAACAAAGAAAATAACAGAACGCCACTAGCCGTCACCTTCAGCCCCCAACTAAAACCAACTAAAACCTCTCCAATGCATCATCAAGGATCTACAACCTATCCTGAAGGACGACCCATCACTCTCACAGATCTTGGGAGACAGGCCAGTCCTTGCTTACAGACAGCCCCTCAACTTGAAGCAAATACTCACCAGCAACCACACACCACACAACAGAACCACTAACCTAGGAACCTATCCTTGCAACAAAGCCTGATGCCAACTCTGTCCACATATTTATTCAAGTGACACCATCATAGGACCTAATCACATTAGCCACGCCATCAGAGGCTCGTTCACCTGGACATCTACCAATGTGATATATGCCAGCAATGCCCCTCTGCCATGTACATTGGCCAAACTGGACAGTCTCTACGTAAAAGAATAAATGGACACAAATCAGACGTCAAGAATTATAACATTCAAAAACCAGTCAATGAACACTTCAATCTCTTTGGTCACTCGATTACAGACCTAAAAGTGGCAATTCTTCAACAAAAAAACTTCAAAAACAGACTCCAGCGAGAGACTGCTGAATTGGAATTAATTTGCAAACTGGATACAATTAACTTAGGCTTGAATAAAGACTGAGAGTGGATGGGTCATTAAACAAAGTAAAACTATTTCCCCATATTTATTCCCCCCCCACCCCCGCCGCTGTTCCTCAGACGTTCTTGTCAACTGCTGGAAATGGCCCACCTTGATTATCACTACAAAAGTCCCCATCCCCCGCCCCGCCCCCGCTCTCCTGCTGGTAATAGCTCACCTTATCTGATCACTCTCGTTACAGTGTGTATGGTAACACCCATTGTTTCATGTTCTCTGTGTCTATAAATCTCCCCACTGTATTTTCCACTGAATGCATCCGATGAAGTGAGCTGTCGCTCACAAAAGCTTATGCTCAGATAAATTTGTTAGTCTCTAAGGTGCCACAAGTCCTCCTTTTCTTTTAACAGAAACAGTGAAGTTCTAATGCACTGTGGGTGGTGGTAAAATGCAGGAAGCCCAGAAAAGGGTCCTCAATATGGTGAGGCACAGGGCTGTGCTTCATAACGTGTGCTTTACCAGCTAACAAAAGATCCAGTGGGAGGCTAACGTAGGTAAGATGAGGAGCAGAAGTGATGCGTACGCAACTATGTATATCTGCTAGTCAAACTCCACACTGGGGGCAGAGGAAAATTCTGTCCCCTCAACACCTACGGACATTTTCTTGGGCCCAGATCTAGGAAGAGGTTCTGGCTCATGTTTACCAGACTGAATTCATACACAGTAAATCTAATTTAATGCATC